CCCCCCCCCAAGCTCATCTGCCCTCTCTCTTTCAAACTTATACTTTCTCTCATTTTCCCACTCCCTTCCTCTTGGTCCAAAAAGAAATAACAATGTCTGCCCTGGCCTTGCACCCAGGTGCAAAGTGCGAAGGAGGTACAAAAGAAATTCACATAAAAACCCCAAAACGTTTAACTTAAATACATGCCACTTGCGTTAACGAGACGGTTTGATGGCAATAGCCTTTTACTGCCTTTTCAAGCGTCTATCTATCTATCTATCTATCTATCTATCTATCTATCTATCTATCTATCTATGGGAGTATGTAGAGAGCGTCACCACTTGAATAATATGTGGTCTATATTATATAGACAGGAATGTAAAACCTTTATAAATCAATAGTCTAGAGACAGCTTCGAGGACAATCAGAATGGTAATTGTATTGTCTTGTGCATAGAATACAATATTACATTAATTTTACCCGTTCTCTCTAGTCTTTTTTGAGCGAGGCCAAAATTTCATTGACAGGGACGTAATATACAGTCTAGCACGCGCACAGAGAAATCTGTGGGCCGTGGAATTGTTTTCCATATTATTTTTGTGTTCGATTTTCGCAATGCACGTGTGTTAAATACACAGAATATAAGAAAATGTAAAAGAAAAAATTGTGGACCTGAAAAACCTGTTCGCTATGTGCGTATTGTGCTACGTGTACGTTTTCGCTATGTTCGTGTTCGCTATTTACGTGTTTGTTATGTACATGATAAAATGTACTTTTAAGTATTGACTTACCTGTTCTTCTGCACGAGCAGAGAGTATCGAGAATGCTTCTTAAATAACTCAACAGTGTTGACCGGGCCGTTCAAACAATATCATTTCATTTCTACGCTCGTATTCTCAGAGAATTTCGAGCTCGAGCAAAAAAAAAAAAAAAAAAAAAAAAAAGAACTATGTCGACAGGGGCTTAAAACCCTTGTAATTATTCACTAACAATTACTCTCCCATCCACAGAGAGTTTCGAGTACGACCAAAACTGTGTCAACGGGGGCGTATAACACTAAAATAAATCATTCTCTTTTCCTTATTCTCGCATTCATAGGCTTTCGAGTCCGACCAAAATTGCACCAAAAGCGGCGTAATACACTTTCGATACATTTTTAATTAACCTCTACCCTCGCATCTACAGAGAGTTTCGAGCACGAGCAATAAATTAAAAAACTATGTCGAAAGGGGCTTAAAACCCTTACATACAATTATTCACTAACAATTACTCTCGTATATCCACAGAGAGTTTCAAGCACGACCAAAATAATTGTGCCAAAGGGAACGTTTTATAACACTATACACTAAAATAAATAATTCACTTAGCCTTACTCTCACATTCACAGGGTTTCGAGTGCGACCAAAATTGCGTCAGAAGGAGCGTAATACACTTACAATAAACTTTAAACCAACCTCTACCCTCGTATCCACAGAGAGTTTCGAACACGACCAGTCCGAGGAGAGGTCATCTTCGCGGGCCGAGAGCTCTGTGGGCGGCGGTCCGGGGTTCAATTCCTGCAAGGCCAAGAAGCCCCGCAAGGCGCGCACGGCCTTCACTGACCACCAGCTGTCTGTCCTGGAGAAGACGTTCGAGCGTCAGAAGTACCTCAGCGTCCAGGACCGCATGGAGTTGGCGGCAAAACTCAACCTCACGGACACTCAGGTCAAGACCTGGTACCAGAACAGGAGGTGGGTTTGGGTTTTTTTCCTTATTTTTTTTCTTTTTAAAAAAAATTTGTTTGTTGTTTTTGCTTTTTTGTGGGTTTTGTGTGTGTGTGTGAGTGTGGTTTTGATTTTACAAAGTTGGATCTATCTTTTGTTTTTGTAAAGTGTTTTACGGCGCTCGCAACTGCATAAGGTCATATGAGCGCGCGGGACACTCCTA